TGTACGTGGGACTCGGCCTCGCGTTGGACGGAGAAGTGGTGCCTCGGGGCGCGCCCGGGATCCGAACCCGGGCCGCCAGCATCAGAGCGCACGCACTCAACCGCTAAGCCACGGAGCCGGCCCAAGCCTCCATAACTTCTGATGAGAAATTGACTGTTAATTTTATTGAGGATCTCTTGTACATGATAAGTCACTTCTCTCCTGCTACTTTCAAGATACTATCTTTGTCCAAGGTTTTCAACAATTTGACTGTCAAGTGTCTTGATGTGTGGATCTCTGAGTTTATCCTGCTTGGAGTTCACTGAGTTTAGTGGAAGTATAGATTCATGTCTTTATCAAATTTGGGGAGTTTTCAGCCAATGTTTTTTTCAAATATTCTTTCTTCCCCTGTTTCTCTCTGCTATCATTCTTGGACTCCTACAATGAGTATATTTGTATTTTTGATGGTATCCCCCAGGTCTATTAGGCTCTGCTCATTTTTCTTCATTCTTTTGTCTTTCTGCTCCTCAGCCTGATTAATCTCAAGTGACTACCTTCAAGTTCACTGATTCTTTCCTCCGCCTGCTCAAATCTGTTGGTGAACATCTCTAGTTAGTTTTCATTTCAGTTACTGTACTTTTCAGCTTCAGAATATCTATTTGGTTCTTTTTATAATTTCTTTCTCTTTATTGATATTCCATATTTCTTGAGACATTAGTCTTCTAGTTTTGTTTAGTTCTTTGTCGATGGTTTCCTTTATCTCTTGAGGATATTTAAGACAGTTGATTTAAAGTCTTTGTCCAATAAGTCCAATGTTTGGGCTTCCTCAAGGTCTAGTTTTTATTAATTTCTTTTTTTTCCTTGTTAATGGGACAAACTTCCTTTTTGTCTTTGCCTATCTCATAATTTTTGTAGGAAACTGGACATTTTTAATATTTTAATGTGAAATGGAAATAAGATTACCCTCTCTCTATTGGGTTTGTTGTTGCTGTTTGCTGTGGGTTCTCGTTATTTGTTTGTTTAGTGACTATTCTAAACACTTTTTGTAATATCTGTCTTCCTTGTCAGTGTCAGTGGCCACTGAAGTAAATGTTTCATTAGCTTACTGGAGAGCTTACGTTTTGTTCATGTTACCTTAAATACCTGCAGCCAAAAAAAACAAAAAAGAAAAAAAATACTCTCCTAATCTTGGCAGATTGGCTCTGTGTGTTGGAGTACTCCTTCAATGCTTATCCAGGCTGTTTACAACTCTGCCTCTACCTTCAATTCTTGCCTGTGCAGATCCTAAAGGTTGGCCAGAGGTACAAGATTAGGGTCTTCTCTGGTCTTTCCTGAGCATGTGGCCAGCACTGGTCATCTGTGTGCACTTCTTCATTCTCCACTATATGTGAGAGCTTTAAAAATCCTTATTCCCTCATGTATCTCTTTTTCCAACTTTGCTTTCCCAGGCATTTTGGTCTGCCTAATGCTTATCCCAACTGGTATCCATAGCCTCAGACAGTGGTGGCAAGTATATGCCTTTAAATGCTTTCAGTAAACACTGCCTAGAAGTAGCTCCAGCTCTGTGTTTGCTCCAAGTCAGGCAAAACAATGACAAGTCCTTATGCCAGTCCTTCAGGGACTCAGTCAGACAAGTTAAAACACTGAACTATAATTCTTTGAGAATAAGGTCTATATTTTTCCCTCCAGCACTAGCAATCTGTACCACAAGTGCAGGCTGCTCTCTTCATGGCCACCACTGATCTGGGAGCTGGAGAATGGCAAGTCGGCAATTTAAAATGTGACATTGTTCTCATAATGCAATGTGGCAGACTCTTTCTTCATTAACTTTTCCTCTAGTTGTAAGTTCTTAACTAGATTCCAGATAGCTCCAAAAGTTGATTCTGACCAATTTTTGCCAACTTTATAGTTGTTTTTGCAGTGGGACACAGCCCTGGAGATCCCTATTATGCCATTTTCAGTGATATCCTAATTCTTAAATTTTTAAAAATAAATTTCACATCTAATGTGAAAAATTCAGCTTTCGATTTCCTGTTCCTTTTGAAATAAAACCTATCTACAGCAGATTAATCATCAAAATTTGAACATAATTAACAATAAAGAAGTATTAAAAGTTCTTACCATTCTTCAAAAGAAGTTTCAAACTGTCAAAATAAAAGATCTCAATAAAAATTTTAAACATCTTAAAAAACAATAGTAAACTTAACTTACACTTGAACTCACTGATAAAACCGTAGATGGTCCATTTAACATACCCCATTGTATTTCTGTCAAATCACACTCTCTGTTGTTTCCAAAGCAGGTATATACTTCTCCTAACTATTCCTATCCTTTTATTATTATTCCCACCTAATTGTTCTCACCTTTCATCTGTGTTTCTAAATCTTACCCCTTCAACAACAACCAGGTCAAATTCCACTTACTCCCAAAAGACATTCCATGCAATCAGAACTGCACGATAATATATTACCAAAGAGTGGTAAACACATAATTACATGTAAGTTCAAAATTATTTAGTTTTCTACAGTATTATCCCTCTTCTGGACTATAAACTCCTTGGTGGGAGTCATGTTCCACAGATATATTCTAACAGTATCTTGGGCTGTAAGGGGCAGAAATTACCAAAAACAGAGACTATATAGTCAGAATGTTATGAGTTTCATAGATAATCTCCAATTCAAGATGTTAGATTGGGCATACATGATTCCTTCTCTTCAATTCCCATATCATATCAAAATTTCTAGGGGAAAAATATATGTGTGTCAATAAAATCACTGGAGCATATATTTTAGAAGAATTCCCAGAAATAGAAAGTAATCAGACAAGATTTACAGTGAAAACAGAGCAAAGAAAAGTACAACTCAGAAGAGACAAATAGAGAACATTTCAGGGAGGTGAAAGTCTTCTCTGTGGAGATCATGAGGAATTCCAAGCATGGGAGAATAAGCAGGTGATAATGAAAGTAAATAATTGAAGGGCTACTTGTGGTGAGATCAGTCAGTCTCATTGCTTTCCATCCCAAAAGTCCAGAATACATAGCTGAGAAGATGCCTTCTAATCACTGCCATGAGAATAACTCTCTAACCACACTGGAGATCCGTCTAAGATGGAGAGGTTGCCTAAGAATGGAAGTTCTGGTTCTAGAGAGAAATAAAACAGAGCTTAGATAACTAGCAGAATCCCACATAGACACAAACAGGTGGGTGAGGAAAAACAAAGGCAGATTCATCAAGTAATGAAACATTCTAGGGTGCTACACTCAATATAAGTTTGTTTAGGCAAAAGTAGATGCCCTCAACTGTCTTGCCTAAATATATTACCTCCCATTTACAAAGAGCCCCAGTAAAATTTTTTATATATTGGAGAAAAAGCCTTTGATGTAAGCAGACTCCAATAGCTGCTAAAAAGCAAAGAAATAAAAACAGCAACAAAAAATCCCAAAAAACTTATGGTAGCAACCAATAATCAGTCTGGTCCATCATTTATAAACACAAAGGACAAAAAAAGAGTATAGAAATATTTGAGGAAAGATTAGAGCATGAAAAACAAGAAAATTTACTTCAGATATAACAGAAATACTGGAATGAACCAAAATGAATAATAAATTCAAGGCGTATATCTCTTTTCTACACAATATTTACAAATAGAAAAAATTTAGCTTAAGAATGTCATTATCCAAATATGAAATAGATTAAAATAACTAATCATTTTACTATCCATATATACACGTGAGAATTTAGTTTATTATAAATTCATATTTCAAATCAGTGGAGATAACTCAATGAATGATGTTGAGATAATTTGAATAATTATTTGGAAAAGATAAAATATCATTATCTGCTTTATACCATAAATAAACTTCAGAGAACTGAAGGAGCTAAAGGAAAAAAAAATTAGAAATGATAAAACATTTTAATAATCTTGATATCAGGAAGTTTTTTTAAACTATACAAAAATCTCAGAATTTATCAGATAGATTGGTTTACGTACAAATTTCTTTATGACAAAACTACTATAAATAAGTTAAAAGACTAGTACAAACAAAAAGTATTTGCAACTAACATAAAAGACAAGAAATATCTACCAATATTTCTATAAATATGTAAAAAGCAAGCAACGACACTAGAAAAAAATTGGGAAAACTACATAAACAGCAACTAACAGATAATTAAATGCAAATGGGCAGAAAACATCAGAAAAGATGCTCTATTTATATGTGTTAATTGATCTACATATCTATATATTTATCTATATCTATGTACATGAACACACAATTACATACACACATATATTAAATGAATACTATATATACTAATATGCTACAGAATCAATAATTTAACATTACAGTTTTCATCAATTTGCCCATCTCTTCCATTACCTTCTATTTAGTTCTCTCCTCTAAACAGGTTTTGGTGTTTGCTATACTGCTGGAATTTTCTTGTGCTAAATGTATAATAGATTCAATGGAATCTGAAAAACTCCCAAAGAGACTAATTTCATCTACATAATAAAAAACTAATGAATGCAATTGTTTGAAATCTCAATGGGTTATTTCATGTAATACAATAAGCTTATTCTTAAATTTATATGTACCAAGAAGAGCCACAGAAGTCTGAAAAAGAAAAAAAACCCACATCAGATATTAAAATGTATTATGAAGCATGTAAATTAGTGAAATGAGGTATTGTAATAGAGAGGTAAAATTAACCAGTGGAATGAAGGAACCAGAAATAGATCAATCACATATGAAAACTTGATATATGATAGATGTAGTATAGTTGATTTCTAAGAAATAACAGGATTTCTCAATAAAATTGATGTTGAGAAAAATAAGTCTCCATATTTTTAAAAACAAAAATAGTTAACTTATTCCATTCTTACACGCAAAGACCAATTTCACAATGTTAGAAATTAAATCTCAAGTGAAAATCTTTAAAATTTTAGAAGAAATAAAGTAAAAATTTTGTATGACCCTGCATATGGAAAGATTTCTTAAACAAGATGCAAAACACTTAAAATAAAAGGAAAATGATAAATTCAAGTACATTAAAATTAAGAACTTCTTTTACTAAAAAATATCATAAAGAAAGTAAAAAGACAAGTCAAACTGGGAAAATACGTTTAAAACATACATAACAAACTAAAGATAACAATTTGTTCCTACAAGTCAATAAGAAAATACAAATAAACCCAGAAGAAAATGAGTAAAAGATAAATAGGCAGAGAAGAGAACGAACATTCAATGAATATATTAATAGGTTCTAAACTAATTAATAATCAGAAAAATGTTATCCCTTGGTTTTGGTGACTCAGAGTTCTCCCAGGACAGAAACCTGCAATCAGGCTGATTTATAGGATAATTCCAAGAAGCCACTTGAAGCATCACAAGAAAGTCAGGAGGAGATTGGTTAAGAGGTACTTTAATGAACTCAGACATAATTATTCAAAAAATTCAAAGTCCTCAATAAGTGAGTAATGCTTAATTAATATTCTCAGCTTGAGCCTCCTCATAGCACAATAGGAAATGATGTATTTTATAATGATAAAAACAGGTTACCTAAATTTTTAGAAACAGAATTAAATTTGGTATAGAGAAACATTTTAGGATAACATATCAAAACTTTACCATCGCAACATTTTGTAGAAGTGATGAAGCAATAAAGAAAAATTATTTTAACTGGTCTTTGATCATATGTGAGGAAGCAAAATTTCAGGCACCTATTATTCAAATAACTGGGATATTTAAATGGCTAACATAGGAAAGGCCTATAATACCAGAGAAAAACTGAGTTTTATATTTATAACTGCCTATCTGAAATATTTAAAAAGTTTTAGAAATCTCCCAAAGTCTCTTTAAATTATTTTTAATAAAATTCTTATTATAATTAGCTTAGAATTTCACTTATTGCCATAAATTTTTGAGATATTTAGAAACATTATAATTTATAATATAATCAATTTTTAATCAACTAACCACAAAATCCTATGCATTTCTTATTTCTGTCTCTTTCAAAGAGCAAAGAGAAACAAAAGTCAGGAGGACTAAAAATGTCAAATTGGACATACTTTAAGAAATTATCACATTATAGGGGAAATGAAACACTTACAACTCTAAACCACATTGTGCACAAACTCCTGCTTGATACATATAACATTCTCATTGATCCTGGTTCTTTGACTCTATATTTTTATTGGAAATTATTACCAAATTTTAAATGCTATTTAAATTTTTGAAATAAAGAAAGTATTCATAAAACCTATTTTCTACTCTAAAAAATAAGAAAAAATTAACTTCATGTTAGGAATCTCCTTTTGTACTGTATAACATTTGTAGATATTCAGTATTAATATCAAACACAATTTCCCACAACTGTGACCTACTTTCATCTGGAAAGAATACTCATACCCTTGAATTTACAGTCCATTTGGGATTTCCTATAGCTATCCTATTCAAAAGTCCAAAATCATCTTGAAAACATAGGCAACATTTATCAAACAATATGCCAAATTCAAGAATTTTTAGGAACGAGTACAATTTTTAGGAACAACAACTTCCCATGTTTTAAAAAGCAACCTCATGCAAAACCTGACATAATTTAAAAAATTATTCCTGAATCTATTCATTCAAAAGCATTTACTTAATGCCTATAATCTGCCAAGTTCTGGTAGGTACTACAGTTAATGGTGATTTATATAGAGACTCTAACTTCCAAGATCTTACAGTCTTGTGGGAGAGAGACAGATATAAAGAAACAACTTCAATACAATGTGCTAATTGTCACAGTAGAGGTCAATAAAATGTCTTCAAGGGAAGACAGCTATACTAAGCTTTGGAGGCAAAGATGGTTTTGTGGGAAGAAGTGACAGTTAAATAGAGATAAGAGAGCAATTGCACGGGTTATGGCCCAGAGGTAAGAGAGTGAAAGCTAGGGGCCAGCCCGGTGGCGTAGTGGTTAAGTGCACACGCTCCGCTTCGGCAGCCTGGGGTTCCCAGGTTTGGATCCCAGGCGCGCATGGACGCACTGCTTATCAAGCCATGCTGTGGTGGCGTCCCACATAAAGTAGAGGAAAATGGGCACGAATGTTAGCCCAGGGCCAATCTTCCTCAGCAAAAAGAGGAGGATTAGCATCGGATGTTAGCTCA